TTGAGACAAATTGTCTCCAGTTGAGGTATTGGTAAAGACGCATTCTGTGGTTTTGAAGAATGTGAGACTGTGAGACATTTGAGATATTTTAAGAGAAATCAAAGTCACTTTAATTCTCAAAACATTATACAAATAAAATAGCACAAATAAAATAATTTTCAAGAAAATGTTGAATTATCAGAAATTTAGTAGGCCATGAATGCCAGCACTTGGGAGGCTGAGGCAGGAGGATCATTGCAAGTTTTGAAACCAGCCTGCACTACAAAATGAGCTCAAGGCCAGCCTGAACTGCATAGCTAGCCCATGTCTCAAAAGGACAAAACAAACAAACAAACAAACAAACAACAACAAAAAAAACCACAAAAAACAAAACAAAACAAATAAAGACAGAGATAATAGAAAGCCTCTGGGTTGGTCACTTTCTTGTCTCTGAAACAAAACACTTGAAACTAGCACCTGAAAGGAAAAGAATTTTATTTTGTCTTGTTTTAATTTTTTTTATTTCAAAGATAAATGAACAAAAACATATTAACAAACACACATATATTTATAAAATAACACAGAAACAGTACAAACAATACAGAATTTCGACAAGGTAATAGGAAATTAACAATGGTTGTTGTATTACCTATTGATATCTTCAAATTGGTTACTCGAATAAACAAATATAGACATGTAAGATTGTTCAAACACTTAAACATTAACTGTTCCTTTCAATAGAGCAATAAAAGTCAGAATAGCTAACATAGTTGTACTACGGTCTCATATTTTAGAAGTTTCAGTCCTTGCATGTTCAGTGGAGAAAAGCCCACTCACCTTATGGCAGCCAGGTAGCAGAGTCGAGGGATGAGTCAGAAAATAAAACACGATCTCCTGGGTCAGGCCCACCATGCCCTGTCTCTTCTAACCACTTCCTGCCTCCGAACAGCAGGTCAGCTACAAAGTCACCAGTGGATGAATCCACCCGGGAATATAGCTCCCCATGTTCCAATTAATCCCCCAAAACCCCACCAGAGCTTCAGCGGGTCTCACAAAGCTTCAGCGGGACATCTGGCTATAAACCATAACAGTCCCTACCCAGTGAAAAAAGGTTCCAAATTTCAAATTTATTTTCAATCTTTATCAATTTTGAAAGAGCAATAATATGTACTTTGATTGTAAATGAACTGTAAAAAATAATAACTTGAAGATATTTAGCAGCTTCACATACCATGATAGAATCCCCCACTTCTTTGGTGAATATATGTTTGCACTATGCATATATATATATATATATTTCTATCCTATTAAAAATTTAACTGAATCTAAGTGGAAGATGCAAATTCTATTCCTTGTAGGTTAATGTCTGAATATAAAATATGTCACCTACTTTTGATGAAAGAATGTCATGGAGTGTTATCATAATCCATGAAACCTGCTTAAAACTTATAATTTATCTCAGTTTATATGTGTGTATGCCAATATATTTAATTATACAAAGGACACATTTATAAGAGTATAAAATTTATTTCCAAATTTCAGTGAAATATTTAAATATGAAAGTAAGACTGATACAGTGAGCAGAGAAGTGTAAATTACATATGAAACTTTTATATCTCTTTAGATATGATGTCCCTTTCCTTCCAGCTTGCTGTTCTTTCTCTTTATTCTAGAATAATCTTCATTAATAATGTAATTAGTATTCAACAAACTCTTTCCATAGCAAATTCTTTTAATATGATGTTGCCCAAATTATATGTGCATTGGATTAGTTAATTGGAGCCCAGCCTCTGATTTAAAGGAATCTTATACGACCATTCTCTCAGACAAAATTTCTTAGCGCTCCTAGTTCATCTCCACAGCTATTGCTGTGGCTGCACACTTATAATTTTTATGATTCATAGATTAATATTTACAACCTCTAAATATATCAATGGAGGCAGGGACCAATCCTCACTGTGTCTAGCAAATAAAGCTAGGTAAACAATTCTTGAAAAATGAACAGAAAAGAATGCATACAACTTGTGAAGAATTTCCAAAAAGGAAAAAGAAAATTAAATAAGATTATTTCAAGAAGCACCACAAACCAATCTTTGATAAAGCAGTCACTGCAAATATTGTTTGAAATTTTCATAGTGTCATTTCATACATTTCAACAAATATTATTCCTACTAGCTCTTTTTTCAGTTCTCCCCTTATTTATCAGAGTTCCTTAAATAACAGACTGAGAAATTTCTAGAACGTTAATCAAGTATATTTAAGACAAGGAGGGATATAGAAGGATATTAGTGATTTGCACATATTAAGAATGGAAGCTAATATTTATTTCAATAATTACTAGGGTTAAATGAAGATTCTAGAGAATAGTATATATTCTTATGTTCTATTATGTCACATTTTATAATTGAGTCTCTTGCTTTCAAATATCCTATATTATTTTATATATGAGTATACTCGAATAATGGTCGTGTTATCAGCACTCCAGTGACTAAACTGTCTCTCTCTTTGGAGTTCAGAGGGACTGATGGGCCACCCTAGGGCCACCAAACTGTGGCTCAGTGTCCTCTCCCAACCTTGGGCCATGCGCTCATCGAGGATTATGAGGCAGAAAGCATCATGTCCAAGCTGGACTCATTTTATATTTTGTTTTCTTTTCTTTGAAGTTCATCAGAAAAATGATTTCATAGATTCATGGGGTAAAATGTAATGTATCACTGCTAACATTCTAGAAATTTCTCAGTCTGTATACCTTGCAAAACAATAAAATGAGGCTAATTAGAATATCCATCATCAATTAGAATATGGTTTTTTTTGATAAGCACATTGAAATTCCTCTTAAACTGGATTCATAAAATGCAAATAGAAAAGAGACTGTAGAACTATTCTGTTTGCTTCTTTATCCATGCCTCTTATCAGAACTAAACTCTATGGCCACAGAATGCTGCTCCAATCAGAGTATGTTTCATACATGTTCGGTGTATTCCCCAGTGTAAAATAAAGATTCAGTCCCTACAAGAATGAAAGCGATGCGGAAGCATAGACACATGCCATGGAATTTTTTTCTTCCTTTCCCTTCCCTCGCTCTTCTCATTTCTCAGTCTTCATCTCTTTCCTGCACTCCCACTTTATTCTTTCTCTTTCATGCTCCCGCCCTCCATCTCTCTTCCATCCTCCCTCCCCTCCTATTTTGCAGATGCTGTCTCACCTTTTCTCCATTTATTAAAATAGCTCAAAAGGGCGTTTATCATTCTGTTGCTGAGCCTGGAGTAAAACAGAAAGATGCCATAAGCCTGTCATTTATAATCAAGAGGAATATTCAAAAGCATTTGTCTTACAAATGTACTCAGATAATGTGCAGAAATTTTTAAAGTGGAAAAAGTGGGAATAAAGCTTTGTTGTTAGGAATATACTGATTTCAGTAGAGCAGACAATTATTAAAACTTCAGAACTATAGAGATAAAGCTTACTGAGTGCTCCTGAGGTTAGAGAGCCTCATTATTTCTATCTTGAATACTAAATTTCAAAGGACCTAATCTATAGCTGTGTGATGATCAACACCTGAACTTGACATTCTATAAGCACATTTATCACTTTGTAGTTCTTTCCCAGAATTCTATTTTATAGGCTAAATTTGCAAGCTCTGCATATTATACAAGAGGTTTGATAATCATATGTGAAAACATGTAGATGTATAAAGCAAAGTTCAACCTAGGAATATCTGAAATTCTTTGGGAAATAATGAAAAGAGACTTTACTGTAGCAGTGTTGCCTAAATGTGTGAAGGACAAAAACTATTTGGGTCACGAATACAGTTATCAGTAGACAGAGGCATTAATTCTTAATACACAGTTAATATACAGACATATATTTTCATAAATCAAATTTTAAAAAGATATATGTATCTGAATTTCATAATTTTCAATAGGTACAGAATTTTAATGAAGTTATGCTTATAGTTCAGTTTTCCCCAGAGTAAATGCTGCCTCCCACCTTCTCTAATTTTGTTCCCATAAAAGCATTTCTTAATTTTTCTGATTCTGGACTCTTTCCAATTTTCCCACTACGAGTTGCCTCTCACAACTCAGCAGCACCATTCCCTTCTCAACC